GAGTTTTCACGGCCCAGCAGTAAAATAAGCGTATGTTGCATCTCACGTCTACTCATGTGATTATAAGTAGTGCGCTGCTTGTGTTTTATTTTTATCAGCAGTGTTTATTTACTATATAGTACTATAAATCATTGTTCATTCGGTAGTCAGCTGGCCAACTTGCGAAATGGGGTAGAGCTTTTATGGTGATATTCGCTGTTTTCTTGACGGAATGTCGTCTCTCCGTCTGGCGCAGGCATTCATCCTGTCCCGATCAGGCAGCCAAGACACGGAGGAAACTCTAATTTACCCACAGACAATATTTGAAATTGGTACGCACAGTTGGTAGGTTTTGAGGTAATCAGTAAACCATTTTTATGAAAATTATTCACTCTAGAGGTTGTTTGACCTTGTTTTTGCAACTTGGTCATTTTGGTAGGAAGACTTAGAACAACGCACCGAGTCGGGACTCCATTGTATGCATGATCATTTGCAAAGTTGGACCGTGCACGTGGTACATTCCCAAACGTAGAGCACCGCACAACAACTCGTCAAAGAGACAAGTGAAGCTGATACTTTGACCAAACTTGTGCTAAACAATTGTGGTATGTCCCCTTCTGAACTGGGTTATTCGCGATTGAAGTATTCACTCTATTTCATTTAAGGTGAAGAAGGGCCGATGGTTGAATATAATCCATACTTGTCGGATGACGGATTTAATGGAGGCCTCAAAACCCTACTTAAAAACGAAGAATCATCCCAATTTCGTTAAAGATCCAATTGACTCTGTCTATTCACGAACCGGCTGTTGGTGTCTAGGATCGTGCGGGAGTGCCCAAGAGCCATCTCGCAAACGTAATTTGGCGTCGTTCACTCAAGGGTTCCGGGTTCGAGTTCTGCTCCGCGTGGTCATTTGTGCGCATGTGAAGCCGCCTCGTGGCAACAAGATGGCAAGATGGCCGTAGACAAGAACATGTCTCACACGCCGCTTTTTTTTGCTCGCACGCCTTGTCTCAGGGGATCGACTGGAAGTGCGTGTGCTACATGATCTCCGAGATCCAGTACGGGGGCCGGATCACCGATGACCTCGACCTGCGTCTGATGGCCACCTTCGCGCGCACCTTCTTCCAGGAGCGCATATTCCAGCTGGAATTCGAGCTCGCGCCCGGCTACCTGATCCCGCGAATGGCCACCGTTGGGCAGTACATGCAGTTCATACAAAGTCTGCCGTCACGAGACTCGCCCGAAGCATTCAGACTTCATCCCAACGCCGACATTGAGTGAGCTTTTTTCACTTTCTCTTGCTTGTCGAACATTTCTCTTTGTGCAGCAATTTCGCATAAACGCCTCAATTCAACTTAAAGCGAGCATTGGCCTCGTTTGCGGCAGAAATGCACATTCCAGTGGATTTGATGGCATTCGGGGCTATCGACAATCGAGAAACCTGCTCGTTGCTGAAGTGAACCGGATTCGAATAGTCATGTTGCTGATCAGGTTGCCAATGTTCCCACAAGCAGATGAGGAGAATGCTTTATTTTTTTCACCCAATTTCACTTTGCTTTGTCAATTTAATTGCACTTCACTTTCAGCTTCGCCTCATCGCATTATTCCCAGTCGCGGGGGCACTCGAGCCATGCACTTGATGGCAATGAGGCGAACAGCCTCTGCCTCTGTCTACAATTGTAGGCCCTCTTTAATTGCTTTTCGTCTACAAGACGGCTGCTGAGACTGTCAGTAGAGCGTTTATATGAAATGTATTTAATCTATTTTGTTGAACGTGATAAAGGGATTGGCAGTC